TGATGTAACTGCCTTTGGAACAAGCCTTTGGGACACAGTGCTATTCATCATACACATGGTGAGATATACATACAGATACACAGGTATGTCTACAGTTTAAAGACTTAAGTGAATGTGTACATCCTTAGGTACATATGTAGGTATGCTTGTAAATGCTTGAAGATATTAAGATATACCAGAGAAACTAGAGTGAGTTATTTCATCCAAGAAAATATATAGAATGTTTGGAGGTTTTTCTAGTAACCGAACTAATATTAGTCTATATTGCCAAAGTAAGAATTGATGCTACCTATATTATATCAGTAAAATCACTTCAGTTCATTACTTAATGTCAAAGAAATTAGCCAGAGCTTTAGTGGTGATACAATTATTCTCCTTGTGTTTTATATTCATTGTACTAGTTACAGAACAAGGTACGCTTCTCAGAGTTTATACTGTATAGTGATCACACTCCTGCTTGTTTCACACTTCCTCCTACATTGAACCTCTGACCACAGCCCTTTAGTCATTACTAATCTGGTACTGAGCTCTTCCTGCAATTGCATGAAATGAAATACAGGATTCCATGTGTATGCAGTCAAGCATGCATTGTGAAGTGAACATACCCATGGGTGACTATCTTTCTGAGATGGGTTTAAGTTGATTACTATGTTTATCTCACATTATATCCAGTTTTGAAAGCATTCATTGAATGTTTTAATTTATTGTGTGTGTGTGTGTGTAATCCACATGTTGTCCTGTGTGGAGTGCCCTAGCATGACAGAAGAGGGCACCAGATCTCTGGAATCTAGATTTCACTGAGATTGAAAGTCACCATGAGGTACTCTGAATTCATCCTGGGGACTGCAAGAAGACCAAGTGTCGTCATCTGCTGAGCCATCTCATCGAGCCTGTTGGATCTGCATACTATAAACAACAGAACTTCTTTTTAAATAAGGCTGAAAAGACTTCACATTCTAGGTCCATCTTGTGTCCTTCATCCATGACAAGGTTGTTGCACACCATGGTTCATTCACTAATGTTCTGCACACAGTGATGCCATCAACAATGAAAGGGAAGTTCCTGCTTAATAAATATAATGAGATAGTTGACAAGGTGTACATGAACCATGTGGTAGGGAAGGTTTTGGCATTTGGAAGACTCTCCATACTCATATCCAACCAGGCTGCATTTCCTTCTGAAAACTCATCTCTCTTTCTCATTTTATTTCTATTTGGCCTAGACTAGCAGCTATTTCAGGTTCACCATGTATTTCCCTGATGCCTGCTGAACTCATTCTCCTTTGTCAGTAAATTTGTGAGGTAATGTCTTTTTCTTGTTGCTTTAATAAGACTGTTGACTTCTCATGATTTTTTGTATTTTACCTAATTGTAAATAATCCAGATATTAAATCATTTAATTGAGGTATCAATAGCAAAGGTTCCAACCAGTTATTTACAAAATACCCTGAGGTACCTCCTTCTTTTCTGGCAATGAATTCTTACTTTCTTGAGAGACCATTTGTCCACTACAGCCAGGATTTCTGGAATGGTTGTTGTTTTCCTCCATTCAGGCCTGTCCCTAAACCTTCAACTCTGCACTACATTGAGAAATAACAGTTTAATAGTTTATTACACATTGATCTCTGACACATTTGGTACTGATACTTTATGGGGTCAAATAGAGAATGAAGAATCCATTTATGTGTTAACCTTCTTTTATTTTCTTTACTGAAGTTCTGAACAAACTACATTGCATCAGGCTAGCCTTGAACTCATATTAATATGCCTGTCTAGGACTCAGTTGCCATGGAGTGAAGGGAACATTGTTTCAGTGTCTGTCTTAGTCTGTTTGTAGTTACACTGGATTGGATTTAAATTCAATGAACTAAATTCATTTTGCATGTGTATACATGAAACCTCCCAATTATGTGTTAAATAGGAGCTTTTCTAATCAGATCTAAGCTCCATGTGAACCTTTTAGAGTTCTTTGATATGTCTGAATATAACTGTTAGGGCAATGGCAGATGGTGGTGTTAATATTAAGAATATTATTTCTGGATGGTGTGACTTCATGGTTCATGTAGAATTAAAAAGGAGTAATGGTGGGTGGGGGAGTTGTGGTAATGGTCCATTTATGTATTTCAGTGGAAATGGCTTCCAAAAGAAAAAAAATCCCATTAGGAGAAAAGTGATGTAGAATACATCCATTTCTCTATGGAAGTTTTTTTTTTTTTTCCTGAGCTTAACATTATGTGAGAATCTCTTTAACCATAATACAACCTTTATAGGAAAAATAGTTTAAACACTCAAACTATTGATGCCACTTCTACAACCTGCTACTCCCTTACATGGCTGCCTTTTGTTTTCCACACATGGGTGGGACTCAGGTTCAGTTGTGAGAACTTCCTCAGGTTTTCCTTCAAAGTGTCAAGACTAAGATTTACAACATGACATTTCTGGTGCCCATAGCCACCAAATTGAAATCATCTCAAGTCCTGTCCTTTTTGTGCTAATGTAGTTTGGACAGTTGACAGTTGGTAAGAATTAGAAAGTTCTAGGATGGCTCATTGTGTTCATGATAAAATAGCAACTAGACAGTGTGAGAGGCTTGGTTGTACACATGCAATTTTGCTCATTTTCATGGTGCTTTTCCTTCTGTGTGTGACAGGCATGTGTGGGGACTAAAAGAGTCCCTTGACAATGTCTATCAAGAGATGTCAAGGCTGGAATCTGGTCTCTTCCCCTTGTTGGAAGACTTGTTTCCCCTTCATCCCAGATAGGTTTTCTCAGTGTAGACATGGCTGTTGTGAATCATCCTCTGTATTCAGGCTGGCCTTGAAATCAGAGATCTGCCATCCTCAGCCTCCCGAGTGGTGGGATAAAAGTCACGCACCACCACTGCCCAGCAGTCTGGTTGGAAGAATATAAACATTTTGAGAACATTTATTGTTAGCTACTGATACTTCAAAAAAATCTATGCTTGTTTTGTTTGTTTTGTCATCTCGAAGCAGATTAATCAACACAAACCAGGAAATATCAGTTGTGAAAATGCCCCCACCAGATTGGCTACGTAGTAGGGGTGCTGCCAGCTCAAGGGGGTGCCATCCTTGGGGAAGTGTCTCTGAGATGTATATTAAAAAAAAATCTGAGCAAGCCATGAGGAGGAAAGGAGAGGGAGCCAGCTAGTAAGCATCTTTCTCCAAGGTCTCTATTCCAGTTCCAGCCTCAGTTTTCCCTGATGAATGAACTGTAAGCACAATAAACCCTCCCTCACCAAGTTGCTTTTGGTCAGTGTTTTATTAGAGCAATGATTTGATTTTTACAATACTGTCCTTTTGAGGTGCCCCACATCATGAAACTCAGAGCAAAGTAACTGTTACAAAAGTTGTTAGATTTTGAAGTAGACGTATCTGTAACTGAGTCCAAAACTGAACTGCAAGCAAGTTATTCATAATAAAAGGTCAATTCAGTGTTTTTTTAATACAACTACAATCATAATTTAATGGAATAGAAGGGGGTTGGCAGAGAAATGGATATGCTTGTCTGAGCTTTTACTCTGTAGTTGAAGCACACACATTGTCAACACTTTTCGAGTCAGAACTCAAAACAGGTGGTGTTGTAGCAGCAGGTCAGCAGTCGATTGCATTGTGGCTTTTCAAGAAGAAGGAAGTTAGCCTGCACCCACTCCAAGCCCTCAAAGCTGCCTTTAACTCCAGCTCCTTTGGATCCAGTGCCCTCTGGGGGCTTCCACAATTATATTACTTATGTACACACATAGGAATAATTTGATTGAAAATGAAAATGTAGGTTAAGGAAGAAATCTGCACTGCACTAATTGTATCTGTTAAACTGAAGATGAATTATTAGTATGGGAAAGGTCAGTTATTTCTATTAGGAAAGCTCAACTGAACTGGGAATATTATTTATAGATCCAAAAATAATAAGGACTGGAGAAATGGATCAGATATTAAGAGAAATTATTGCTCTTGCAGGGGACCCAATGGCAGATCATAATCACAAGTAACTATGGTTCCTGTGATCATAGGCCCTCTAGATTTCCTAGAGATTCTGTACACACGTAGTACCTGTACATACAGTTGTTAACATACATATCCATAAAGGCAATATTTTCTTAAAAGGAAAACAATTATACAGTGGTTCTTGATGCAGCAGTTATCAACTTCCTTAATGCTGCAACTCTTTACTACATGTGTTTTGGTGAACAATAAAATTATTTCATTGCTATTTCATCTTGTAAGTAGGATAAATGATATGCAAACTCCTTAGGGGTTATGCCTTCCATGTTTAGCACTATTCCTGTAGATTATATAAAATATTGTATAGAAGGACTAACTTTTTTAGTTTGATGGAATAGGGACTAACAGTTAATAGGTATAATTTCTAGATGTTCATTATTTATGTGTGTGTGTGTGTGTGTGTATGTGTGTATGCATATATGTAGATTATTGTGTACTTGCATGAAGGTGTCTATGGAAGCTCATCTTAGGAATGAAGGTTGAATCATAGGTCTGATTCTTGGAATTACAAAAAAAAAGGATGTTTTTAGATCACATTTCCAAGAAGTTTGGATTTCTTATTTTAACGTAGGGGATTCTAGATGTTATCTTTATGGTTCCCACTTTCTGCACTGTGATGTTTGTCTTTTAGGATCAAGGCATGAATTACAGATCATTTGGATGTTAGCTGCACTGAGAATGAGGCCAAGTGTAGAAATGTTGTAAACCTCGCTGCTGACCAGAACTGCCAAGAGGATCGGCGTCTCTTCAGTTTCAAACTCCAACACTAAGACAGCCACTAAGAAGCATCCATGTTTTCAGACATGCTTATTCTTTATTAAATGTGTGCTAAACCAAATATTGCAGAGAGGTGAGAAGAATAAAGACGGATGGCACAGAACACTGAAATAACCCTGAAATGAGCTACCAAGGTCAGGTGTGTAACTGGGACAGGGTATATAGGAGGAATATGAGAAAGGAAAAAAAAATCATTGGTTCCAGATCAATTCTTGCTGTTCCACACCAGACAAACACCCCTCTTCTTCCTTTCCTCTTTGATCCAGGGAAAATGCAAAATATTCAGGTTAGTTTTCTTTTCCACACTTTCCAGTAGCATCTGTGATTCCTCAGAAAATGCAGATTTGTCCATTCTGTAGTGAAAAAGGAAGAGCTCTTTTTTATTTTTACTGATGTACTAATTTGTATCTGTTTCTGCAGGCACATGCTAGAGTGCACATGTCAAGGTTAGAGGACAGTTCATAGGATTCCATCCTCTCCCTTCCACTATGTGGGTCCCAGGTTGTCAGGCTCAGCGGAATGTGCTTTCACCCACTGTGTCCAATCACCATTCCAAATTTTGTTGCCAGTCATTTGTGTCACTTTACCCCTATGACTACGTCTCTTTGTCACTCTGCTCTGGGAATGAATTAGAGAAATGTACTGAGTGTGAAGGTCTGATTCTCTCCTGCAGAGTAGGGAACCTCTCACATATGTAGATATATAGTATAGACATTCATATAAATCATCTATAAAGATGTTAAGATTAAAGTTACTAAATATTGAAGTAAATATAACCCTTTCCATCCATTCATTGTTTAAATGAGTAACTACAATAATTACTCCTTGTTCTGAATTATAACTTATTATGTTGAATTTTTCTTAAATTTGTATAATTAATGTCACCATCACCACTCTACTAATCATCTATATTAAGCATGTCCCTTTGGCCACCCTAGACACTTTTATGAGACCATTGAAGTTTATGCTACACTTTAGCTCACCCATGAGTATGATGCTCTATTCTAACTGCCTGTTCTCCCACGCCATTATCGGTAAGCTTACAAAAACAAAATAAATAAATAAAAGTAAAAAATGGTTATCATTTTTATACCTATATTTAAAACAGTTTTCTCTTTGGGAGTTTTTATATGTATACAATGTATATTGATCACATCCTTCCCCATTACCCTCTGAGCCCTTCACATTCCTTTCCTACCTTAATGTTCTTTTCTTACCAATAGCTCTCTGAATCCAACAAGTGGTGCCGATTTATGATTGGATGTAAGTGCATGTGCTGGATCATATATGCACCTTACCAGGAAGCACATGTCTAAAGAAAACCTGTTCATTCTCCTTCCCATTGAAGCCATCAAATGTCCCCTGGCTCCTCAGCTAGTGGTGGGGGTCATGAACATCTCCTCTGTCCCTCCTAGAATATTGACTGACTTTATTGACTGACATGATGTGCTCATTCATGCAGGCAGCCATAGCCTCTGTCAGTTCGTGAGTGGATCTTCCTTGTCAAGTCTAGAAGAGGTTTTTTTGTAGCAGTCCTCCCAACACTTAAATCTTTCTACATCTTCTTCCTCAATGTTTCCTGAATCTTAAAAGTAAGGGACCAATGCACTTGGCCTGACACTATTTTAAAATTGTCTTAAGCAGTCACTCCACATAGTTATTATTTTCTTGAAAATTTTCCCTTAGACTCTTGGGCATTATGTCCCCCTTGAATTTAATAAATTAAGATATATATATATATATATGTCTGATCAGCATATGTACAAGTCATGTCAACTTCCAATAAAGAGATAATACATTACCTGCCAGTCTCTTTTAGATCTCTTGCCCATATATCCCCTGCCTCTATAACCTCCCTAATACATTACCTGCCAGTCTCTTTTAGATCTCTTGCCCATATATCCCCTGCCTCTATAACCTCCCTTTCATTCAATTCTGCTCCAGCCTTAACAATCTCACTCGTACCTACCACTCTATTCCCACTCCCCAGCTCTTCTAATCTCATTCTAGCCTGCATATTACTGTCTATAGCCCCATTATAGGACCCAAATCTATAGGACAGAGGCATGAAGTAATACTTTTTTCCTCACAGAATATTCCTTCAAATATCTTCACCGGCACTCATCTAATCAACCTGAACTTATGCAGTAAGTTCTCTGGGCTGGGGTTGAACATTGATGGGTAATGTATGTAGGTTGCCGTGTTTGTAAATAGAATGGTAGTCCTTAGTTGAGTGTGCTTCCCAGAAGATATGAAAATGCTCGATCAAGGTGTGCCCAGTGGTACAATACTGGCATGAGAGTTGTAGGAGTATCCAATTGCTCTTTGATTGTATTAAGATGCTTGCTACACAGGGGTGAAATAATGCCTGCTACTGTAAACACTGTCAAAATCCAATGGCCGAGGATATCATAGGCCCCAGAGGGAAACCTACTGTTGTTTCCTTAAATGGCATGTTGTCAAATTTTCTAAATATTTACATTTATACCCAAAGATGTGTATTTCTTATAGCATTGGTCAAAGAAGCTTTATCCCCTCTCTGGGAAGTAGTTAATGCAGAGATTCACAACTGGTCGAAAGTGCTTAGAGCAGGTGACTATGAATGATGAGCCATACATGGGTCATTTATCAACATTCCCTATGCAAGGCTCGGGGATCATCATGAAAGAAGAGGCAGAATGACCTTATGGGTAAGGACTGAGTTGGGAAGAAGCACTAGAAAATTCTTTGCTTTGGACATGATGTGACCATTTTATGCAGATCCACCCCTAGCAGAGGAACTATTAGTGTCTAATGGCTGCTGAGTGACAATGACTTTTAAGATTTGGCTGTTGGTCGGCAGCCCATGCTCCAGTGGATGACTCCATACCCATAGGTACATGATCAAAAGGACTTAGACTGTGTGGGTTATTAATTGTGATTGCAGGGTCTTTTCATGTTTGGAGTTGGTTAGTGGGGTGTGGCATATCATCAAAACATGTATATATGTGTATGAAAACTTCAAAGAATACATAAAATTATTAAAATGAATGTCTGGACCGGAGATTTGGTTCAGTGGTTAAGAGAACTGGATGTAGGTAGGAGGGTTCAACTACCTACACTCTCATGTTGGCACACAACTATTGCAACTCCCTGCAACTCCTTCCAAAGGGATCTATTTCCCCTTCTAGCCTTTGCACGCAATTGGCAGGCATGTGGTGTATAGAATTACATACAGAAGAAAACAGCTACACCTAAACCTTTTTATAGATTAGTTGAATATAGAAAATTTTCCTTGATAGACCATTTAAGTGTCCTACAAAGTATGGTATGTGTATTACTCTTATACTTTTACTAAATGTTATATGATACCTACATATTATATTTGTGTGTGTGTTAATATAATGTGTTGTTATTATATAGTATTAATATAATGGTGAGAAGGGACAGAATGACCTTATGTGCTTTTTTTTTTCATTCTGAGATTAGGTTACCCTATTTGCTATCCTTCTAAGCCCATTCGCTGAATAATCATTTTTTTAATATGTCCTTTAAATAAGGTGTTTGATGATGTTTGAAGTAATCACCACAGACTGTGGCACTCATGAGTAGATAGAAATCCAAAGATGAGCTCAATGTCCCAGAGGACAAAGGTGGTCTTTCATATCGGAAGACCCCAGACCAGGGTCAGCAGGATAGAGCCTGAGCAAACAGGCATAAGAGCTTTCTCTGATGTCCCTTCCAACTCCGGAGACAGCTAGTGCTCACCCCAGCTCCTTCAAGTTACAGGCTTTATGATTCAGAGCCTCACAAAGCAGCTCCAGGCCATCAGGGTCAAAGGTCATCCAGTCCAGGTTCAGGCTGGTCAGGGTTCTGCATTTGGTGAGAGCCAAGGCAAGGTCTGCACAACAGCCAGTGGTGAACTCACACATATCTAACCTGTGACAAGGAAAATACCAGAAAAGGAATGTGATGTTTGGCGACAGTTCCAGGTTTTTGAGCAAAGAAATAACCAGTTTCAAATGGCTACACTATGCAAAAACACTAAGCAAACCCAGGTCTCATGGAACAGTATTTTTTTTAATCATTTTTGATATAACATCTATGTACGAAATGTGACTTCACTACATCTGTCTACTTGCCACACTTGGCAACTCCTCCCAGATATCCCTAATCCATACCCCAAGCAATTTTAATGTTTCAAACCCACTAAGTAAGTGGTTCTCAATCTGTGGGTCATGACCTGCTTGGGGTCAAATGTCAGACATCCTGCAATCAGATATTTACACTGTGATTCACAGTAGTAGCAAAATCATAGTTCTGAAGGAGCAACTAAAATAACTTTGTGGGTGAGGGTCTGTACAACATGAGCAACTGTATTTAAAGGGTCACAGCTTTAGGGTGGTTGAGAACCGCTGCACTATGCACAATTATCATTGCCTTAGGGGCTAGAGTTGAGGACTCTCCCCTGGAAGACAGGTAACCAGGCCTAATCTCTGAAGAAAATTGACTCTGCTTCCCTCAGCAGCCATCAGCTGCCAATAGCTCCTCAGCTAGGCCTCGGCTTGGGTGGCTCTGCTCTTTCTTCTGTCATTGTCACTGGCTTGATTCATGCCAGGCCCTGTAAATGTGTGAATCCCCTGTGTTAGGGCATAATGGAGAACCCATTTCTATTGCTTTGCTAAGGGGACATAACAAAAATTACCTTCTAAACCAATGGTGCTCCACCTCCCTAATGCCGTGACAGTTAAATTCAGGTTCTCATATGGAGGTGACACCCACACCACAAAACTATTTTCATTGCTACTTCATAACTTTAATTTTGCTACTTTTATAAATCACAATGTGAATATCTGAGTTATATGATGGTCTTAGATGACCCCTGTAAATGGACATTTGGTTCCCAAAGGGGCATGACCTACATGTTGAAAAGCATTGTTCTAAATGCTGTATATTATTCTTATGTTAGTTCTGCCCTGAAACCTCATGAGAGAAACTTCCCTTTGCAATGGACTGGTTAATACACAGGCTCACAGGGGTCAACATTGTGAGGCTGAGTCTAAAATACCTTGCCTCAAATGGAACATCTGTGTCATCCCTTCCCACAAGACTCAGAAACATCATAGGAGATGGGCCAGAAAGAGTAGAAGAACCAGATATTATCATGGGAAAAACATGACAGGGCCACAACAACTATTTTCTGTACAAGAATTAATACTTTTCTCAAAACTTGAGACTAGGCTCTGTGGAGTTACTCATAATCCAGTTGTATTAGTTGGGGTTTCTAATGCTGTAAAGAGACATCATGACACAGCAACTCTTATACACGAAGACATTAATTGTGGTGGCTCTCTTTCACTTCAGAGATTCAGTCTGTTGTCATCATGGAGGGACATGGTAGCATGTAGGAAGATATGGTGCTGGAGAAGCAGCTCAGAGTCACACTGTGTGTGGCTTGAACAAATATGAGACCTCAAAGCCCATCTCTGAAATGACACTTCTTCCAACAAGACCACATCGACAACAAGGTCACACCTCCCTAATAGTGCCACTCTCTTGGGGAGCCATTTTCTTACAAACCACCACACACCCATGGATCCTCTAGCATTTGTCTTGGGAACACTTCCCACCATTAACAATAAGGACTCACCCAAGACACTGTAATTTACATTCAGGATTCATCAGAGCTTCACATAACTTTTTGACGCCAGAGTCTTGTATGTTATTGTTGCCCAGTTTCAGGGTCTTTATATTTTTATTGCAAGAAAGGACAGCAGAGATCCCCTCACAGCAGGCTGAAGTGAGATAGCAACCAGACAACCTGGGAAAACACATCAAAACAGACTGATTTATTATGAGGACCATTCCTTTTGTTTTACATTGTTCTTCATTATTATTTAGAATTCATATGAACCCCACATCTACCTCCCTCCACCTCACTTTGAAATTAATAATCTATTTTATTTTATTGTTGCAAGGAAATACTTATGTATGTATATGTATGTATATGTATTCATGCATGTGCGTAAATATGTAATGTACTAAGACCATTTAGCTTTGCCTGTATGTATTATATGTCCAGTGATTGCTTTACCATGTAAATCTTGTCTCTAGACTGACATATTCTTCCTCTCAACAGCCAATCATTAACTATCCTTTCTTTGTGAGACAAGGTCTCATGTCCTAATCTGGCTTCAGACTCATTCCATAGCTGAAGATGACCTTGAACTTCTAACCCTCCTACCTGCACCTTCCAGCACTAAGATCACACAGATTTGTAGCTATCACTATTTTTTAAACAGCCTGATGTACAGTCAAATACAATGCTTTGAATGATAAATAAGCATTCTACCAACTGAACTACATCCCTAGGCCATGATATTTCATCTTATTAGTTAAGGATTTTTAAATTTATTTATATGAATCAGAAATGCCTACGTCTGTCTGAAATACTGACGATGTCTCCATCTGGGTTACTCTGCTCCAGGCTGGCTCACTACAATTCTTCTGCCTTGATCTCTGCATCTGCTGTAGCTACCACTATCTCCCCTGATAAAATTACAGATGCCCTGAGAATAATTGGGGTACGTTATCCCTGAATTCATATATTTGTCCGAATGTCATCAGATGTTGAACTTCTGCCAGTATTAATAGAATACCTCTCAAATGCTCCCTTAGACCCAAGCTCATGGGTCACCAAGGCACTTACAATAATGACTAAGAGAGGGGTTGGGGTACAGAAGATAATGGGTATAAGGTAAGTGAAGATAAAGAATGTGATGAATGAATAGATGTTAAGTGTAGACATCAGGCAGATATGTTATGTATAAGGAACATAAAATAATTAGTATATGATGTTTAGATTGATACTGAAGAGGTGATATGCAGATTATTATAGGAAGAGTGCATAATATGTTAGCAAACACAACTAATTTTTAAATGGAAATAAGGGGAAAAGTTAAATTCATTGATGATAGATAATAGGTGGGTAGACATATGATAGGCATGTATGGATACATAAACACATACATAGATTCATGATTTATAGAGGTATAGACACATGATTTATGCAGGTCTAATAGGTGCATTAATGTTTTACCACCCAGGGGACTCCTGGAGCCTCTGTGGCTTCATTCATTAGAGCAGTAATCCCATTGCTGGGGACTCACCTTCGTGTCCCTATCACCAAGAGCACCAAGTTTTAAGACAGCCTTCATAGCTGGTAGGCTTCACCACAGAGTCTGAGAGGACACTGACATTCTGAAAACTCTACCCTCCCACTTCCTTCTGAAGGCCAACATCAGAAAGTGCATTCCCAGAAGGGATGAGAACACACTCCTACCATAACTCCTGTACAGGGCACGCTGGGGCTTTCAAAGCTTCACACAGAATGTTCACTCCAGTATCTTCCAGGAAATTTGAGCCCAGGTCAAGCAGAGAGAGGCATTTATTGCACAAAAGGGCTTCATAGAGATGGCTACAGCCAATGAAGGTGAGACAGCAATATGACAACCTGAGAAGAGGATTCCACATCTGCAGCTCACTTATTGTCACAACATTTCATGCAATACTGGCATGTTCTCTCTATGCTGAAATTCCACTTTGCATGAAAATGTACAGAAAGGGGCTGTTCCCAGATGAAGGCCCTTACCACCAAGTCTGAGTACCTGAGTTCAATCCCACATAATGGAAGGAAATAACCAGCCCCATGAGTTGACTGCTATCCTCCATATGTGTGTCAGTAAACACACACACACACACACACACACACACACACACACGCGCACACACACACATACACACATACACACACACACACACACACAATGGGATGGAATTTTTTTTCAAACAAAAATGTTGATAACCCGAGGTTATATATCACCATAGATTTTCCAAATTTGACCAATTTGTAAACTTGTTTGCTAATCAACTAATTCTTCCACCTATCAGAAATTCACTATTGCAGACTCATGCTCTAGTGTGATTTCTCCTATTAAATTTAAATTTGTATTTGTTGTCTGTGTGAGTGAGTGTACATCTGTGCAGGTGCGCATGGAGGTGGAAGTCAGACGACAAACTCATGGACACATGCTAGAACAACACCCACCCCCCATTAGACTGTCAGTGGCCTGAATTCATTTATTAGATGGGGCAGTTTCACAGTAAGCCCCAGGGCTCTTGTAGTCTCCCTGTCTTCAGTGTGTCACCACACCTGGCTTTTTCACATGGGTTCAGGGGATCAAACTCATGTCATCATGCTAGATTGGACAGTATTTTACCCACTTAGCTGTTACTCCAGGCCAATGCTGTTATTTTATTTGAAATATTTTTCCTAGTCCTATAATATTTAGTCCTACCTCTTCTGAAACAGCCTTCATTTCCTATAGTGCATTTTTTTCCTTTTCTTTTACAAGTCTCATTTCAGGACTGGAGAGATGGTGCAACATTTTAATGTCACTGCTGATTTCAGAGAATCTGGGGCTCAGGGAGAAACACCCACATAACACCTACACACAGTGCTACAAGTCTCCTGCAAATAGAGCTCCATGGGACTATTGACTCCTCTGGCCTCTGCCTGCTCATGTACTCTTGTGCTACACAGAAAATTATACAAATGCTCTCATGTATTCAACCCAGGTCAAAACAAAGGCACTGATAATTTTATATAAAACTATCCCCAAGCCAGATGCACAATTTTTTATACCATGCAAATAAATTTCATGTTTGGACTTGTGGAACATCACTAAGACTCATGATATGCAAATATTCCAAATAATATAAATGAAATATGAAACATTTCTGGTCTTGTCATAAACAGTGCCTATAAGGGATACATGAACGAGGTACTTAATGTGCAGTTCTTGTCTTCTGTAAACAGATGTCTCAATAATGGTCAATACTTAAAGCTCTTACATTTTGTATGCATGTTCACATCTGTAATCTGCACATGTACATATTAGTGCATGAATACATGATCACAGAGGACAATTAATTTTTTTGTCTGTATGCTCTTTCTCTTCCAGGAACCCAGGTATCACTGACCACATTTCCCAAGTTTATCTGCTATGGCTTCCATGAGACAATAGTCTAGCAGAGTGCTACCATGAGGAATCAACCTCAACCTCAGGGCAGGAGACAGCACACAATAGCTTAATAAGATATAGGAAGGCCGGTCTCAGAAAGGAATATTTTTTTTCTTGTTTATATTCTCCTTTGGCCTAGTAGCCAGTCTCTTTCCAAGGGCATTTTGTTTCCATATAAATAATTTTATCTTAATGGATATGATTATTAAAGAATTTCAGAGCTACCTTTACCTTTTCTATAGTTGATCTCATGTATCTCTGCATACATTTGCTCCACTTACTGACATGTTACTGAGGCATGTACTAGTGACTATTTCATGACACATCTCATGGCCTCCTGCATTCCTCAGTGGCCATTTAGTCAGCTTCATAATAGTTGCACCCATATGTAGGGTTCGGCAATGTCCCCAGAGCCTTCTCCCCAAGACCAACTCACATCAGTGTTTCCAGGACACAGCTCGGATGCTTCAGGATTTTACACAGTTTCATCACTCCTTTATTCTTCAAGGGATTTTCAACCAATGATAGATGTTTCACCTTGCATTTGGTTAGGGAAGTAGCAATTGCACCACAAGCATCACTGGAGATGTCACATTTCCCCAACCTACATGTGAGATACATGCCACAGGTTAGGAATAATATCTTTAGGTCATCTAGGTATCACTGCCTATTGTTCAAACAGATGTCCCAGATTCTAATGCTGCATGTACCAGTCCACATCTACATCATAGGCTTATTTAATCCATAAGTATAATTATGTGACGATCATGATGAATGATAGAAGTCTGATTGATAAAATATCCAAGCCACTGGTTTTCAGACATGGATGACTTACTCTCAAGAATCCATTTAGGAATGTTTGGTGGTTTTATTGTTGATCACAAAAACCAGCAGAGATAGGGTGTTATGAAAATGTAGTGGGTAGAAGCCATGGCCTTTGATGCACAGATAGACCACATTTTAAAAATATGATCTTTAACACTATTTGATTGATTACTAATCTCAATGAAGCACACACACACATGCGCGCGTGCACGCGTGCACACACACACACACATACACAACACATACAGGAATTTTTAACAAAGAAAAATATCGTAATGAAAACTCCTTTTTACACCTTGTACCATGCAAAGCAAAACTTTCAAAGTTAAGCCTAAAATGTGATTTTTAAAATAATTTTAGAGAAGCCACTGATTGTAGACAATGCCCTGACTTACAGCAGCTCCTCTACTCTGCATGTTGGACATTTCAGCACCGAGCAAATATTCTCAACTACATCACTGGAGAGATTAGTGCCATAGAGGTTCAGAGATTTCAGATGAGGTAGTCGAAGAAGTGTGGAAAATAATGCACCATCTCCAAAGTTAGTCATGAAGGAACATCTGTGGAATAAGTTCAAATGGAACATTATATATACCAGGCAGTGTGGCTACATGACAAAGCAAATGCTCACATGCTCTTCCACACTTTACCTTACACCATGTTTATTTGGGCATTCTAGTTACCCCACAAATTCTCACTGGTTAACTCCAAGTGCCAGACAAACAAAGAGGCTCAAGCTTTTCCTATTTCCCCCTTTTTTTCTATTTCCCCCAACTCTGCGTAGCATGCAGAACATTCTAAGAAGACACACACATATCCTCATATTAACAATGCCTATTATGGCTAATCGATATTTCCAAATCAACAATATCTTGGTAAGGAAACCTGAATTGAAGAATTGCCCCCATCACATTAATATCCATAGAAATACCAGTGTTAGTAGCATTATGCCTGGGCAGATATATGTGCTGTGAATCAGAAAGGTTGCTGAGCAGGCCATGGGGAGACAAGCCAGGGAGCGGCATTCCTCCATGGTCTTTGCTTCAGTTCCTATCTTCATGTCCTTGCCCTGAATACTCTTGGTGATTATAATCTAGGAGTGGTAAAATAAGAATAAACCCTTTTGTTCCCCAGGCTGCTTTTGCCCATGGTGTCTATCACAGCAGAAGAAACCAAACCAGACTAACACCTTATGTATAATACATATTGAGGACTATTAATACAAGCATAATTCCTCACTGTGTATTGCAGGGGAAGCACCATTTTTCCTCAAGGACCAATGTTTTGTAGTTGTTTGAAACAGAGATTTATGTGCAATCCTGAAGTGTTGTAAAATGTACTCTGTAGACCATGCTGGCCTCCTACTGAGAGATCTGTCTGTCGCTGCCTCCCAAGTGTTGGGATTAAAGTCATGTGCCACCATTTGCCAGATTAGTAAATACCAATGTGGTTTATGCCATCAAGAAAAGTAAATGTGTCTTCTTTATGCTTTTTGTATCTATTCATTTTCAAGGTTGGGTTAATGTAACCAAACTTATGTGTCATCATATTTCATGGTGAGTAAGAAATCATTGGGCAGAATATATGGCTCAGTGATGAAGAACACATACTGTACTTGTGGAAGATTGAACTTCTGTTCCTAGCACTCATGTTGGGCAGCTCACTTATTTCTGACTGACTCTACGACCTAATTCAGATGTAAACATGCATATACACAATCAAAATAACCTTCAAAATTGGACTTTTCATTAATATCCATTACAGTCTCTAGAAATTAGTCAGTTCCTGTTGGGTATGAACAAGAATACAACACAGACACATACATCACAGACACACGTGTGCACATACAAATGTATAGATGTATAGATATTTACAAACCACCTATAAATCTTATGAATGTATGTGACATAGAAAACGTTTAAATGTGTGACTCCTGCCAATATTGTATTTGTTACTTTGGGTTTGGCTCTATATTTCTATAAATTAGTGTTCTTCGAGTAGAGAAGGAATTTCACCTATTTACAGTATGGGCGACTATCAAACTTCGACAAGCTTTGCAGCTTAAAAGCATTCAGAGGCATTGTAGTAGATGGAGACATTGATGCACAAAGATCCTGAATCACGGTTTCATTGAAATTACAGCTCTCCATATCCAGCACTTGCAATTTCTGGAAAACACTGCAGAACTCACTCCATTCTTGGGTTACTTTGCTGCAATGAGATAACATGTTTTTCTATGGCAGTCAATGAAATTCTAGACATTCCTAAGAAGGGAAGATCACTTCCAACTACCTGAGGGAGTACACATGGCACATAGACATACATGCAGACAAGACACAAATATACATTAATTAAAAGTAGATAAATATTTTTAAAAAGTAGCACACAAGAGACAGACAGCAGGGGAACAAGCACTGTGGGCTACAAAATGGCATCTTCTAGGTATTGAATCATTACTACAGCCTTAATCCCATAAGATCTATGCATCCCTCCACTGCCTGCAAAAAACCTTGACTGTTTCTACTCAATCATGTATTGGAGAGGGATTCACAAGACCCTACCAATTTCTGCTAAAACATTGATTCCCTGTAGACTCTGGGAGAGGAGCAGTCATCTCCAGTTTTGTACACACAAGTCAGCCACCCGGGGTCCTATGCACAGTTGCAATCCCATGGACACACTCATAGCCCTAGTTAAACTCAATTGCTGACAAAGTAAAAGATACAAATGTGAGAAATGATGTAATGAAGAAGTTGGGGTGATGGTTGGAAGGAGAACAGCACTGACCAGGCGGTGAGAGTAACCACAGTGCATGATATATGTCTGTATGAAATTGCAAATGAATTCACTGAATAAAAATTATAATGACCGAATCGTGGCCTGGGGTGAGAGGGACTAAATTTGGTTTTGGGAGACTCATGGTTAATAGCTATCCATAACTGCTGAAGACATCCACCCTTGCACTGTTCTTGGGTGAGAAAACATGACTTCTGTGCAAATTCAGAAAGATTACTTGCAACCCCTTAGTGAAGAGTCACCTACATCCATTAATATCATAAAAGATGCAACACATTTGAAAGATCAAGTATGAGCCAGCAGCCTAAGCCAAATGCAAGGCAAGCCAACCAGAGCAATGTAATATGAACACAGCTTTAAACCAGACACGAGTTCCCACATCCTCTACCATGTAGTTTCCAGAGCACTAAACAAACATGCTATGGATGAAGGAAAGAAGCCACACACTGCAACAAAGCTCCTTGTATTTTCACCTCACACTGGCCTTCGAACATATGTGTTCTTTGTATAAATGGAGGAACTTCATATTGCTGTTTAGGGCTACATAGATCCAAACAGCAATGGCAACACTCAACCAAAATCCTTCCTGACTAAGCCATCTCAACAGTCAAGCATAGACATTTAAGAACATAAGAAAATAAAAAAACATGCTGGAGAGAGAAATCAGTGGTCAGGAGTTTTCTGTACAAGAACGAGGAAGTGAGTTCAGATGTACAGACTGACATAAATGGCTGGGCCTGTATGCATGAGGCTGTTGCCACAGCATGAAAAAGAGGAAACAGGTAGATCCTGATATCTTACTGGACAGTTAGCCTGATCAAAATGGTGAGCTTCAAGTTTTGTGAGAGACTGTCTCAAGGGATTAATATGGAGGACAATAAAGAAGAACACCACATCTTCCAACTTTTTCATGATTTCCTAAGGATACAGTGTGCATACAAACACACCTATCAAACAATGCCCTGGACACTAAGGTGAAATGGAAAGAACTGAAGACAAGGTTCAGAGATGTACTCACATCTTCTCTTCTGTAAAGTATTCTAAGTCACACTCTTCTGGGTCATAGATTTCTGAGAAAATTCTGTGATCTATATGCAGATGAAGTTTCTTTATTTTTTGAGATTTCTGCAGATAAATTTTCGCCAATGACAATTCATCTACATTACTAATATCAATAGTCATTTCTTCAAATAGATCCAACACTTGTGTTACAAATCGTTCCTCTTGGTTATCTAGCAGGCCATCAAACAAACTCTGGGCACTCACTTTCCCACTGCACTCTCCTTGACTCAAATTACTAATGCATTTGAGGATTTCCCGTTTTGTCTCCTGGAATGGTATAAAACCAAAGTGTGGTCTCAGCATGGTAGCAACTTTTTCGGTGGCAATTCCAAACACAAATATCCCAGTAATGGACCAGTGAGTTTCTCCATGAGAATAGAACCCATGCCCATAGATTTCTCTTAGAAGCTGGGGTAGGCTTCCAATAATGGGGTGAGGTTTGTCTTTGTCTTGTCTGAGGAAATAGAACAGGGCAGCAAAATAACACTGTAGTGCAGGATGATAAAACACGAAACAGTCACCTCGTGTATTGAGAAAATTCATTCGCAGCCACACTGTCTGCTGAGATTCACATATCCCATTCCTCCTGAGATCCTCAGACTTAAACACAAACACCCATTTCCAAATTCCTTCCACAGCCAAAGTACACAGGGTCTTTAATCGGGCTCTGTTCTCTTTAGATGGAGTGTTGGCATACTCTGATCTGAATGAGCTCAATGTAAAGCTCGTGTATATCCCTGCACTTGTTTCACTATATAAGTTTACTTCCTCTCCCCTGTCACACTGCCACTTTATAGTACTACAGGTCAACCAGCATATGTAAGGATTTTTGCATATCAAGAACAATGGTAGACAGGATTCTAAATAATTAAAGACTTCTAAGCCTTTCTCAGCATTTTTTGAAGAAAAACATACAATATAACTTTATAGCTGGGTTAACAAATTCTCCAATATATATGGTCCTTGGATACTGTAGCAATGGAGATATTTTTTGTTCACTTTGGCATCCCAATTCAAGAAGCAGAGAGGATTCTGGGAGCATTACTTTCTGTAGCAAACTGCTCAAGACAATCTGTGTTGGCATACTCTTCCTCCAGTCACTGCATAAGTTTGTCCGGGAGTTCCAAGTCAAACTTCAGGTAGTCAAATCCCTCCAGGATAAACAAGATTCTTCTAGGATCGGATAAGACATCATCCAGCATCTCTGAAGACTCAGATAACTTACTTGAGATGAGCTGAGCTAAGCTTAACTCAGTGGTGTTGTTAAGCGAGATGAGAGAGAAGAAGAAAACATACTGAAATCTGTTCTGCCATAAGATTCCTGATGCCCAATCCATCATTGCTTTTCTTAAGAAAGTGCTTTTGCCTTCTCCTTTATTACCCAGGACAACTGCAGTGACTGGCTCCAACTGAGGACCAAATACTTCTTGCAATTCTCTGTACTGCCTTTCTAGAGTTAATTTGTAGTCTAAATCAGGCATATGAACGTAGTTCTCCCGGGTCCATATGTATTTAAATATAGTCTTCATAATCTCTCTGTATGAACTTTGTTTATCTGAGTTTGACAAAATCAGAACACAAGGCAGTTAGGAATAGAATGCTCTTAAGAATCAATCTCCAATTTTCTAAAATGCATGTCTAAAGTAATCTACACATCTGGATGAACAGTGAGGCCATAGGTCCCAAAGTAAGGGGAAAAGGAGAAGAGCCACTCACCCCTTCCTATGAAACACGTTTCCGTTTCCCTTCAACTCATGTTTTTCTGCCCTTTACATGACAATGTTTAGACCTGACCCTAACCCAACCAACAACCAGTTCTTTCTACACCCACACCTCTACATAGAGACCTTTACTGTATGCAAATCTTTCCCTGTAGTAAAGGGGTATATGAATATTTTAGAACGAATAAAAGTAAGGGAGGACTCCAGAAGCCTGGGGTAATCAACGAAAGTAAAAACCCGTGCTCCCTCTAGAGTCAATACTCTTGATATGTAGGGACTTTACCTACAAAACAAACAAACAAAACCACTACAAAGAAAATTAACTCAACTTTCACTTTCCTTGGAATTTTCCTCCTCATAACTTAATTCACGGATAAAAGAACTCACTACCTAGCAACACTCATCTTAGTACACCCCTGTGGCTTGAGCCTCAGGTGCTCAGTTGGTAATATCACCCCATCCAGGGTTATAATGTATTTGATATTGTCTGTGAAACTATTATGAGTGAACTGGAAACTCGCCATGAATTTTGGGGAATGCATTACAAATTAACACAGGACAAAGTATCTCCCGGAATAAATTCATGACACCTTCATTTTTACCTAATTCATGAGTGATGATTCAGAATGGTGTTGTTACTAAAGTGTAAAACTTTCTTGCCTTCAGTAAGTCACAAGTCATTCTATTTATAAGTTTTCTGTTTGATTTACATGTTTATAATTCCATGCTTAGTTAAAGCAAAATTTGATTTAGGCAACAAGAGCATGAAACAAACTTTGGACTTATGATTAGAAGTCCAAGGAAAACAATCCTGATGTGGCTGTCAGATTATCCTTTTGTCAATCTTAAGCATCTCATAGCTTTACATATGCTATTTAATATATGTGGATCAATGTCTTAAGCCAAATGAGATTAACAAAATTGTTTCTCTAGTCATTTATGGGGGTATTTCCAGGTGATCAAGCAGTACACTTTCATATTTTCCCAATAACATCTGCAGCCAGCTTTCTGAGGGCAAGAGCCGTCTATCCTGAGATTTACTGGGACTTGTGCCAGTGCCTTGTGAATTACAATAAATTAAAAGTACTTGATCTTCCAGAGGACCTGGGTTGGCTCCAGGGATCCCTACCCTCTACTGGCCACCACAGGCACTGCATGCAGGTACACACACACAAACACACACACACACACACACACACACACACACACACACACAAACACACACACTTCAAAAATCCTTTCAAAATAATTGTGTCTGTACACTTTAAAATGCTAGGAAACCGTTATTATTTTTTTTAAAAAAAATGCTATATTCACACATTGTAAAGTGTTAAATGCTGCGTTGTCAACACGGTTCAATGGATGGGGACACATAACCAACTCCAACAGGTCGGCCTAAGATCTCCACTTGTGCTCACTTGTAAAACCACACAGAAATAAGGAAACACATCAACAAGGTTTGGAATAGTAGCTAAGAGGTTAATTGTGAATATTGCTTTTGCAGAGAACCTGAAATAAGTTCATAGTACCCACATCAAGTGGTTCACAAATACCTGCAACTCGAACTCCAGGGAATCTGACTCTCACCTCCAGGAACCTGCACTCTTGAACATATCCACTTGTTGTAACACATGTATAAACCTAAATTAATGTAAATTTATATGTTAAGGGTTTATGTGATGGATAAGTAAATATTAAGATTGGAAGAAGTTTCACTGCTACTTTATTGGTAACCATAAGGTCTAGATTTCTATTATACATAACTTGTGCCTGAATTCATAAGTTTCTTTTCCTGTGCCCAGTGTCTGTGGATCATGATGTATGTTTCTGTCTCTCCAAGCAGAAAATAGATAACATCTATATTTTTCCAATTTCATCACAATGGGGGGGGTCCTGTCATCTGGAGAGGAAAAGCCACCAATAATGTCTCTTAACAGTCAAGGTAACTTCCAAGTAAAAACTTGCACAGCCCCAATGAATTCACTGGGCCTGGGAAAACTTGTTATTGGAAGAAAGGGTTGCACAGGTCTACAGAGAACAGGCAGTTAAGTCAGTCATGCTATTGGAAATCTATCTGCTGCATGCTGTTGCAGGTTCTGTGGTGTACATGGCCCTGAAACTTACTTGCAATTGAGGGTATCTTACCACTTGCCATGTGTGTAATTCAACCCCTTAAAATGACCCAGGTGTCACTACTTAATCAAATGAATGGTTAAAATGGTTAATTTAAAAAAAAAAATCATTAGATATCTATGTGTAGCCAGGCAAGCAGAAACCTCAACTATGTCAAAATGACTCTAGCTCCATGGCTCAGTAAGAAGCCTCCATGCTGCAATCACTCTGATGGTAGTAGCCTAAAAAGGACAAAATCTTTAGGTGAGAGGAACTAGAATTTGTCCTGCTTCAATTGAGTTTATTTTTCTTCTTCTGCTTTTAGATACAAGGTCCTCTGTAGAGCAGAATGACCACTAAAGTGAAGGCAGCCCTTATCCTCCCAAACTCTCCCTTTGCCTCTACCTGTGGAGCACTAGGAGGAGCTAGACTGCATAGATGTATGGCCAGATTAGAAACATTCCCCATTGGCTGGTACATGTAAAGATTTGCTCCCCAGTTAATGGTCTTGTTTGGAATTTTAACAGAGTGGCTTTTCTACAGAAGGATGTTGCTTAGGGGCAGGCACTGAGAGTTTATAGCCTCACCATATTTCCAGTTTATTCTCTCAGTTTCATGCTTTTAGAGAGCTTCCTGCCCTTATGAAAACACAGGCATGTTTATATCTCTCTCCATGAGAAGGTATAAAATGTGATAAGCCAAAATAATGTCCTTTTCCGGGAGTTGCTTTTTGTTCATTGTTCATTGTGTTTAATCACAGTTACCAAAAAATACCCGATTAAAAAAAAAAAAACAAAAAAAACAAAAAATACAAAACAACAACAACAACAACAAAAAATAATAACTTGACCTGTTTTTCTCCATGTCTTGTAACATGTGTCAACTTGGTCCTTGACAAATTCCTGGATACTTATCCCAATGAGGAAACAGATATAGTGATGCTGGTCATCTTGATGAAGCTGACTAGACAACAAATCTCATGACAAAGGACCAGCTAAATGATGCACATGGTTCCAGATGCATCATCACTTTTGGGCTGATAGCAGTGACACAGCATCTTTAGATCATAGTTCTCCCAAAGGATCATGAAAAAACAAACACATTGTAATATGTTGATAGCTAGTGTGTATCTAAAATATGGGATTATGTTGGCAAATTATTCGCAACAATCCCTGGAAGGCTTGTGATATGTTCCTCCACCTGGAGATCATCCAAGGCTAAAAATTTGAGGCCTTCCTCTACTGTCTCAAGAAATTCATAGGAAATAAATTTAACGTTTCTGAGAAAGGAAATGAAGGCCTATTCTTAGCACTACATGTCTGGCCAAAAGAATAAGAACTCCACCACCCACCCACCCCCCCCCCCGTGGGGGGGCTAACTTAAGCCTTTAATCCCTGCACTTTTAGGAGGCAGAGGCAGAGGCAGGGGGATCTCTAATCTGTGAGTTAGTACCAGTACAGCTTTCAAAAAGCACAGAGAAACCCTGTTGGGGGAAAAAAAAATCCAATAAAGTAAAAAAATAAAAAATAAATAAATAAAAGAACTCCATCTCAGCACAGTGTGGCACAGTGTTCCTGAAGCCCCAGAAATCAGGAAGCTGAGGCATGAAATCATGAGTTCAAGAGTAGTCTGGTCTATAAGGTGACTTTGAAGCCAGCGTTGACTACATAGTCATACATATTCAAATATAGAAAGAAAAAAACAAAATGAGGAGAAAGGAATGGAGGGAGGGAAGCAGAATGAAGAGAGTGAAGGTAGTAATTCTGTGATGAAACACATTGTTTTCTATTCTTATTTTTAAAAACACAGGGACAAATAATTTTATTGTCGAATAGAAAATATAATGTTAATGATAGGATCTGCTTTATCTGTTTCTCTCAATCCTACCTTTCATGTTATTGGTAATGGTCATGTACAGTAGGTTATTTTCCCCAACCCCAGTTAAAGGATGATGTATGTAACAATCATTCGTGTCCTCAGTGCAGCCCTCCTTTACTCTTAGGACAGCAGTGACATAAACTTCACATTATGGTTCTAAGCTTGGTGTTTTTTGTGGGAATCCTAGAAGTGGAAGTGGGGGTGTCTGTGACTGTATCTTCACCTGCTTATAGGACCCATTTCCTACTACAAACATGCCTAGCCTAGTCTGGATAAACTGTTTGTGCCTAGACTTATTTTGTCTTGTCTCACCATTTCATTAGATATTCCTGAGTAGCCTGCACTTTTCTAAAGGGAAATTCAGGAGCAGTGGATCTGGGGGAGAAGGAGGTGTGGAGGAGTGGGAGGAATGAATGGAGGGGAAACTGGTCAGGATGTACTATATGAAAGAATTTTTAAAATCCAGCTTATATGGGGCTAACTTTCCCCCTCGTGTTCCCTCTCCCTCCATGATCATTTACCTCTTCTCAGCTCCTGAGTCATAATCCAGAGGTCATTTCTTTTGACCTGTAGAAACAGTTTCAATGCGATGTCCCATGCCCTTCCTGGATAATGTGTATTCAACAGCATTTCCATGTCTTTTCTTGAAATCATCTCAATCTCAGTCCAAGGAATTGGCTTGAGTTTAAATTGCTCTGACACTTTCCTGAGCAGCTTTTTAAATGTCAGGAACTCTGCATCTCTGAGCTTTTGCAGGCAAAGAGTTAAGCTATATCCAGTTGTTTCCTCCATCTGGAATGATGAGCCAGGACTTCAGAGGTTGATAAATCTTCAAAGCCAAGAAAAAAGTGACACCTGGGCAACAATGACATGAGAAGTCTCAATTTAAAAAGGCTCAAAGTTAGTAATGTCATGCATTCCTTCCTTCAGATATGGAAGGCTCATCCTTCACACTTTCACTATAATGCATGGGAAGTAGTGTTAAAATTATCCGAATTCCACAGTCAGAGAAAAATAATCCTTCAAAGCAATTTATAGAGCAGTGAAGTTATTAATAGAGCCAAATAAGGAGTGTTAGTACTGTCTTTGTGCCTGCCACATTGTACTCCTAAGGCCATGGCTTAGAACAGTTAATAAACCAGAGTCCTTGTGAGAAACTATCTATGAATTTTAACACACTGGAATTGGATTGTTTTCAAACTATGTTTGGTGTAGCTTATTTGTTCAAAAATCCCCCCCTCATAAACCTTGTTTCCTTGTGTAATTGCTATGGCTGCCCTGGAACTGAATTATACACCAGGTTATCCTCAAACTCAGAGTCATCTGACTCTGCCTCCCATGTGCTAGTATTAAAGGCAAGATCCAACATGCCTGCCTCCAAAAAGGTTTTTAATTAAAACGTGTTATGTTGTGTGTTTTGCTTGCATTTTTGCCTGTGCATCATGTGAATACATACAGTACAGGTGGAGGCCAGAAGAGGGCATCATATCCTGTAGGACCGGAGTTGCAGTTGGTTATGAGCACTCAGAAGATGCTGGAAATATGATCCTCTGTAGATAAGCCAATCCTCTCAATTTTGGAACCACCTCTAGCCCACCCCCCACCCCTAAAGTTTGTCTTAAAGTAATAGAAACAAAAATGCTTTGGGTACAGAAAAATATTTGTGGAACACTGAAAAGATAAGTTTCATCAGTTATTGTGTATAAAAATTGTTGACTTCCTAAGAAGGGCCTTACTTCCTCGAGGAATGGTTGGAGGGTGAGAATGGGGGCGGTTGGGAGTGGGAATAGAGGAGGGAGGAAAACTTGGGTTGGTATATAAAATGAAAAGTAAAATGTTTAAAACTTATATTAATGCAAATTAAATTTAACCAATTCTTTCTGAATGTTTCATTAATGCTTTCTTCTGGTTCAGGCCTTAAAAACATTAAAAGTCACTTTTACAGACAAGAAAAAAAATGCACTCAAGTGCCAATTGCCAAATCTCACATTACAAGTTGAACATTGCATATTATGGTTTACATCTAAAAAGGTTGGTAATCTGTCTACAATATTCCGCATGGAAACAAGGAATAAGCCTATTAAAAAGTGGGGTACAGAACTGAATAGAGAATTCTCAATAAAATTTAGAAAGTGCTCAACTCTAGCTCTCCAGTCTCTTTTATAATAGCCATTCTAAATTTGGTAAAGTGTCGTCTTCCTGGGTTCCTGTGTAGTTCTGATAAATCTTTCATTAATTTTTTTCATAGACATCTTTGTAGGTCACTTGGCCGAGTTTTGAAAAATGTCTACTCAGTATATTTTCATTTTAAAATCAAATTAATTGCTCTTTTACTACTGAATTGAGTTTCTTACATAGTCAACTTATTAACATTCTTTCTTGGATGGATTGCAAATATTTCTCCTCTCCCATAGGTGGTCACATGTATGTTTCATTTGCTCTGCAGGAGATTGGTAATTTGATTGATTTCAATTTATAACTTTTTGCTTTTGCTAACTGTAGCACAAGTTCTAATTGGCCTTAATAATAAAAAGAAAAAACCCAGAGCCAGATATCTTAGTAAACGCTGAAAGATCAGAGAGACAAAGGAGCAAGACACATTCACCTTTTACCTTGACAACTTCCATAGGGCCATGCATGGATGCCTGAGGCGCCTTGAGCAAGCCTGAAGCTGTTGGACAGAAGTCCTTGCCCCAAGGCTTTTGATATTACTCTTCCTGTTTTGATGACACCCACCTCGTGACAGCAGCCACACACCTGGTGACAACACTCACATACCTGGTGACAGCAGGCACACACCTGGTGACAGCAGGCACACAGCTGGTGACAGCAGGCACACAGCTGGTGACAGCAGGCACACAGCTGGTGACAGCAGGCACACAGCTGGTGAAAACACTCACACACTTGGTGACAACACACACCTTGTAGGGAAGAGCTAAGCCTAAAATTCCTGTAATTTTCCACTGAGCTATAAGTCGGCATTTAAGCCCTTTCTTTCCCCTCAATAAAGGGCATCCGGCATTTGGTGTTCCGACATTCCATTGAACGAATGACCTGCTGTCTCGTCTTTATTTCAATCTCTAGGCCTTCGCCCATTCGCGGAACAGATGATAGTGTGGCCGCTACAAACTTCTCAGCCAAAAAGAGGCCAACCTCCTATCTCCTCCTGCCTTATATTCCTCTCTCAACCCTCTGTATTGCTTCCTGTCTGTGTAGCCCTCTAGACCTCTATGGTTAACTAGTGGCTAGCTCCTCCCTCTGATTTTTAGGCAAGCTTTATTCTTTAGGTAAGCTTTACTTATTAGAGTACAAACAATATATCGCCACAATTGTCCATTTCTGAAAAAAAAAAAACGAAAACAACAAAAACAAAACAAACAAAACAAACATGCTTCCTAAACCAAAGTCCTGAGGATTTTACCCATATTTATTTTTAGTAGTTTCATAGTTAAGCCTTTATGCCATGTTAACATTGGAGTTTTTGTTTGGTTAATTGGTTCTTGGTTTTGTTGTTAGATTTTTTTTTCCTTTATATGTGTGTTTTTAGTTGCAAGAATGTACACCATGTACATGCCTTTTGGAGAGAGAGTTGGATTTCCTGGAAGTGGTTGGGGCCAAGATGTGGGTTCTAGAAAGCAAACCTGGGTCTTCTACAAGAGTGGTAAGTTCTCTTAATTGCTAAGACATCTCTCTAGCCCCTTAAGTTATTTTTCATATAGCAAGACATGAATAGATGATATCAATACTTGGGGGTACATGTCACCCTTTCAGAGAACCTAGGTTCATTTATCTGCACCCACATGGCAGCTCATAACCTTCTGTAAATCCAATTCCATATAATTCAACCCTGTCTTCCCACCACCAGGCATACATACAAGCATGCAGTGCACACATGCATGAATGCAAGCAAAACACTCATACACATAAAATATAGTTTTGAAATAAAAGACGTTCCTAACATCCTTAGCATTCAGGGAAATACAATCAAAACAACTCTGAGACATGTTCTTACTCCTGCCAGAATGCTAAAATTAGAAACACCAATGGAGAACTTCCCGAGCAGCTCGGAGCACACTAGACCTGTCTATCCACGCGGGGCCACCTGTAATTTCCACCTGCCTGGTCTCCAAACCCCACCACTGGTCCTCTACTCGAGTTCTGGGCCCCTCCCAGAGATCCGCCTATCTCTGTGGGACCACTCTCAGTTCCTGCCAGCAGTATCCTTGAATCCTATCACAAGGCATCTACTAAAGAGGACTCAGCTGGAGAGTGCCAGGTCCCAGCTAGATCAGCCTATCAGTGCAGAAACAACTCAGCCCAGTCTTTGTCCCACATCAAAAGGCCTTGGCTAGAGGCACGAGGAACATCCTGAGTCCTAGCCTTTGAGATCTTTGACCCCCATCGCCAGACTTCTGCAGGGGCCTGATCGCTGACCCACATGGCCAGACCTCATAGAGAGCTTGGACCACCCAACGCTACAGACATTGAACCTCTGACCCACCTAAGCCCACTAGGGAAGTACCATAGAGAGAGGGAGGAGGCCCCACCAACACCTACTGGTGGAAGCTATGGGAAGACAGCAATACAAGAAAACACCTGAGAACAGAAAGACAAGCATGACACGAAAAGAATCTAGGGAATCTACACCCACTAGGCAGGAACACAACAAAGCAGATAAAACAGAAGAGGACAACTTAAAAATTATCATAAAAATGATAGAGGACCTCAAAGATGGGAAAATCCCTTAAAGAAATGAAAAAAAAAAAACAAAAAAATTGGAAGAAATGAACAAATTTCTTAAAGAAAGTACAGAAAGCCAAGAAAAAGCAATTTAGCAGGTGAAGGAAACGATTCAAGAATTGAAAACTGAAATAGAGAAAATAAAGACAACACTAACAAAAGGACTGCTGGAAATAGAAAAACTGGGCAAACGATCGGGAACTACAGATGCAAGCATAACCAGCAGAATTGAAGAGATGGAAGACAGAAGCTCAAGCGCGAAGATAAACTCGAGGAAATAGATTCATCCAAAGAAAATAGTAAATCCAACAAATCCTTAACGCAAAACATCCAGGAAATGTGGGACACTGTGGAAGATCCAAACCTAAGAATAATGGCATAGAGGAAGGTGAGGAAGCCAAGCTCAAAGGTGCCGAAAACATATTCAACAAAATCACTGAGGGAAACTTTCCTGATCTGAAGAAGGACATGCCCATGATAGTACAAGAAGAATACTGAACACCAAATAGACTGGACCAAAGAAAAAAGACCCCTTGACATATAATAATCAAAACACCTAACATACATTATAGAGAAAGAATATTAATATTAATATTAAAAAGCAGATAAGGAAGAGGGACAGGTAACATGTAAAGGCAGACCTATCAAAATTACACCTGACTTCTCCATGGAAACCCTCAAGGCTAGAAGTTCCTGGATAGATGTTCTACAAGTATTAAGAATTCACAGATGCCAGCCCAGGCTACTATACCCAGCAAAACTCTCAATCACTATAGATGGAGAAAAAAAGTTATGTAATGACAAAGCCAGATTTTCACAATATGTATCTGCAAATCCAGCCCTACAGAAAGTTTTGGAAGGAAAACTCCAACCCAAGGAAGTTAACAACACTTACAAAGACATAGGCAACAGATAATCCTACTACAGCAGAAACCAAGGGTAAACCAGGTCAAATATATTCACAATAACACTACCAACAACAAATTTAAAGCAAACAAGCATTAACAATCAATGGTCCTTACCCTCAACATTAATGGTCTTAACTCACCAATAAAAAGACACAGGTTACCCAAAAGGATACGAAAGACAGAATCGAACCATCTGCTGCAT